ACTGAGGGTTGCGATCCGTTGCCGGACACGGAACAAAAAGACAAAAAAAAAAAAAAAAAAATTAAACAAAATATCTTTAGATTTCATCAAGAGTTCTAAAGGGGAAAATTAAGTCTCAGTAAACAAACTCACCACAGTTTGCTGGTTAACTTGAATGACTTCATCACCAGCGTGAATCTTCTGAGATCTGTCTGCAGGAGACTATACAGAAACAAAAAACCCATCTTAATTTTTTAAACCTTCTATTTCTTACTGCTTCTACTTCTTTCTTCTGTAGACAACTAGCAACAGAAATACAGCTTTCTCAGGAAAAATAAAAACTCCATGTCCTTTAGTCCCCTGAGACTACATACTCTACAGAACCTGACATCTGAATACTGTGTTATCTATATTATGAGAGTCTGTTATAACCGATAATCTGTCAGAACAGAAAGGTTCAACTAACCTACTGAGGAGAGTCTAGACACACTTTTGAAATGATTAGCTGATAAAAGCCATTGATTCATCTAAAAAATACCTTACACATATCCCTATCAAAATTAATCTTATAAAAGCTGACCGACTGTTTAACACATAAAGATCATCCTGTTAACTCTGTCATCTCATTACCTTATTAAAACTCAATCTTATTTTTACTCAATCTTGTTTTACATATTACCGTAATGCTATTAAAATACAAAGTTGGTGGCAACAGAAAACTTATTCCTTAAAAGAAAATAGGTTTTTTTTCATTTTCAAATTAAATTCGAAATGCATGAGTCTTCAGTTTCAAAACAAAGTCCAGACTTTGTTTCCCCCAAATTCCTTGCTATTAATTTGCAACAACAATATATACAAAAGGATATAATCTATTTGTCAAATATTTTGTCCATAGTGTTCTTCTCCATATAAGCAACCCAGAACTCTGTTTAACATATCTCATGACCAACAGAAGAGGAAAAGATAAACCTTTGATTTCAAATTCAAAGCAAGCACTATTTAGGCCAGAGTTATTTAATTTTGTAACTTATGTAACTGACTGAATCTTCAAACTACTTACAACTATCTTGGAAAAAAAAAAAAATAGCACCTTTGATCACGGGGAGGGGACAGAAACTACACTCAAGACACACTTGCTGAATTTTCTCACTCAGCTGTTGTGACAGGCTCAGCAAGAAATCAGCAAGCAACATCAAGCTACAGAAACATTCCCTTTGATTTATCTAGGTCCAATGCAAGGCACAGGTAACTGGGATGGTTATTTTTGAAAACATCTAACCTGCCACCATAGAAACCAGCAGTGCCTCACCTAAGAGACTAGCAACATGGGTACCACATGGAGATGGCCCATCTTGAGTCTCTTGAGTCACTTTTAAAAAGTGAATTTATCGGGCCAGCCCGGTGGCACACTGGATAGTGCGCCGCTTGGGAAGCGTGGCGGCGCTCCCGCCCGAGGGTTCGGATCCCACAAACGGACCGGTTCCCGCTCACTGGCTGAGCGAGGCGCGGGGGCAACACCGAGGGTTGCAATCCCGTTGCCGGTCCCCGGTCCGGTACGGGGGCAACACTGAGGGTTGCGATCCGTTGCCGGACACGGAAAAAGACAAAAG